TTATGAGTTCCTTTAGACATCCTCTAGATGGGCTATATATGAGTTGTGTTAGAAGTTACTAGATGGGTTCTTATGAGTTCCTTTAGACATCCTCTAGATGGGCTCTATATGAGTTCTGTTAAAAATTACTAGATGGGATCTATATGAGTTCTGTTAGACGTTACTAGATGGGTTCTATATGAGTTCTGTTAGAAGTTACTAGATGGGCTATATATGAGTTCTGTTAGAAGTTACTAGATGGGTTCTATATGAGTTCCTTTAGACATCCTCTAGATGGGCTCTACATGAGTTCCGTTAGACGTCTTCTAGATGGGTTCTATAGGAGTTCTGTTAGAGGTCTTTTAGATGGGTTCTATATGTGTTCATTACTAGGCCGCAACTGGATAAAGACATTTTAAGTTTACTAGGCCACGTGTAGATAAAGACAGTTAAGCTTTACTAAACTACATCTGGATAAGGACATTTTAACTTTATTAAACCACAAGTGGATAAAGACATCTTAACTTTATTAAACCACAAGTGGATAAAGACATTTTAACTTTTCTAGGCCACAACAAGATAAAGATGTTTTAATATTATTAGACCACAAGTAAATAAAGTGGGAGTTAACCTAGAGTTAACTCCCACTTACCTCTATATACTAGGTTAACTCCCACTTAACGTAGTATGTAGAGGTAAGTGGAAGTTAACCTAGTATGCCAGACGAATGAAACCATCAGATTTTTGTGGGTGAAAAACGTGAAGGTTTATACTATATATATAGTATTTCTAATCCACTGGAGGTAACACTTGTAGCTCTAGTTTCTAGTTCCGCCCATGAAACTGAAAACTTCGTGATTTAACGTGATACACACAGTATCGAATAAACTATTCAGAACAGCTGAATAAAACAAGATATTAGCTCATCATGAAACGTGCAGTATCAGTCAAATCACACAGAACAACTGAATAAAACAAGATCTGATATCAACATGAAACATATAATATCAAACTAGATGTACTTCTGCGGGTCCCCGAAAGTGTTCTGTTTCGAGAATAAATAAAACCAAAATTAAGAGTAACAAATATTTATATTTCTTGCTTTTGAAGTTCATATGTCACGCTGTATACAGAGTGCATAATTCTTCTCCTAATTCATGGCATGCGCACGTTTTACTGACGTCACGACAGTACAAATCGAAAAGTTATGCGTCCCTTATGTGACATCATTTTAATGTATACTGACTAACTGACAGTCAACACATTACTGTACAGTGGTGTGAGTATTTAAAACAGGTGACCCCTCCAGGCGGTCTTCAGCCCCCTTTCGGGGAAATAAACTACACAGAACAGATGAATAAAACTGTAATACTTACATTAGTAACTGTAAACTCTGATAGTATGGAACATCCCCTAGTGTTGTTTCACACCTAAAGTAAAACATAAACCAAACCACAACAGTTGTTTCACACCAGTAGTAAAATCATTATCCAGACCACTACAATTATTTCACACCTAAAGTAAGAACATAACCCAGACCACTACAGTTGTTTCACACCTAAAGTAAGAACATAACCCAGACCACTACAACTGTTTTACACCTAAAGTAAGAACATAACCCAGACCACTAGAACTGTTTTACACCTAAAATAAGAACATAACCCAGACCACTACAACTGTTTTATACCTAAAGTAAAAACATAATCCGAACCACAACAATTGTTTCACACCTAAAGTAAGAACATAACCCAGACCACTACAACTGTTTTTACACCTAAAGTAAGAACATAACCCAGACCATTACAACTGTTTTATACCTAAAGTAAAAACATAATCCGAACCACAAAGTTGTTTCACACCAATAGTGAAATCATTATCCAGACCACTACAATTGTTTCACACCTAAAGTAAAAACATCATTCAAATTCTTTACTGCACACCACACCAAAAACTAAAGCAGTTACGAACTTCTAATACTTTACACTGTAATAAGTTACATTGCACATGTAGAAAATGCAAATATACGATTCCAATTAAAATCATATCTAGTTTTGACGCGTAATATTTCCTTGCACGTGGGGCTGCACGATATCACGTGACTAACAGCTTGGCAACATAGTCAGTTGAGTGCCAGCATGGCGACCAGATGGATATGTGCGACACTTTCCCCTGTCCTGCTAATTCTTTCGCTGTGTAGCTTTTTATGTCGAATCACGACATCAGGTAAGTTGAATTTACTTATCAAATTTTGTTACTATGTTAATATTGTATGCTGTGACCTAGAGAATTAAAAAGGTTTTTTTTTTTAATAAATGTAAACAATATTTTTGAAGCGTGTTCTAGTACGTCAGCTGAAAGCTTGGGGGCTGAGTGGTACTCATGGGCGGTAAGCTGGTTGAACAAAGCGCGGGCTTTACCATACAGTACACGGATAGAAGTTATTCAGATGCAGGGTGTTAACTGAAGATGTATTTATGGATGTTTTGTTCTTCCCGTTAAATCGAGGTTACCCGCTGTTCAATTTAAAAATTTAAATTTCTATATTTGATATCTATTGAAAAGAATTTTTCCGAGATTCTCTTGTCTTTATTTTAACTTTTCTACGTTGTTTCAGCTTATAAACAAAAATTACCATTTTTTTTGGCAGTTGTTGCATACAATGGATTTCATTTTACGACGACGTTTCAGGTAGTGACCACTGACCACTTCTTTCTTAACACAAACGTGACCACCACAACTAGACCAGTTTCTTCGTTTAATGCACATAAAGATAAATCATCATTTGTTTTTACAAAAACAAACATGAATATATATATGTATATTAGATTACGGGTGTACTTAAATCATGGTACTAATAAAAAATCTCTATATACATGTATTCATATACACTAAACACACATCATCTAAACAAATCATCTTTGTTGGAACTTCTTTTTTCTTTCTATTTTCGGAGAAAACAAGGAACAGAAGTTGATGCACGAGCCTCTCGTGAATCAATCCTTATTGTTGAAAGGAATATTTTGACTCTACTGGGCTTGGTGGAATAAAACAGCAGAAACATTGGTTTGTTTGCCGTTAAGCACAACAGTAGGAACATAAAGATACAAGTTACAGGTTACTGAGAGACGATTCTTGTTTGTCTATCAATAATGTGAACATACTGAGAGACGGTCCTTGTTTCAGTGTGACAAGAATGTGAACGTACTGAGAGACGGTTCTTGTTTGTTTAACAAGAATGTGAACATACTAAGAGACGGTCCTTGTTTCAATCTGACAAGAATGTGAACGTACTGAGAGACGGCCCTTGTTTTAATCTGCTGCTGAAAAATATGAGCTTAATGTTAAAATAACTTTATTTCAGAGTTTGCTGCAGAAACGAATTTTGGGTTAGAACCTCTCTGTTTCCTTCATAGTCTGCTACAAATACTACCTTGCTTTTTAAAGTTTCTTGTTTGAACTTGACAAGAGCGTACAGAAAACTTAAGACATAAACGTTGCCAGCTGTTTACCATCTTGCAAAATGAAAAAATAAAGAACAACAGAAGTTTTAAGATATATATTTTTTCTACCAGTATCACGTGATTTGCTAACGTATGTAGTTTAGTTTACAGTGTAATGGAAGGACATGTAATGTGATAACTTTAGTCTAATGGGCAAGTCACGAATATACAAACCACGCCATCATTAGTTACAAACGAACACAGTTCAGAGTGAAATTTGAAACGAAAGTTACTCTTATAAGTTAATCAAGGCCATTTCAATTGTACGTGTTAGCTCTGTGGTTTTCCAGAAATCAAGCTTGTAATAAACGCGAACTGATGATTTCGATACAGTTTTATGGTGTGTTTTTCTGCAGCAATGAACTTCTGATGTGGTAACGTGTGGTGAAAACATGAACTGTAGCTAGTCACTATATTGGGAAATCCTTCGATTCTTAGAAGAAATATAGATTTCAACTCAATCATCTTGTAAACAACGAATCGTTCATTCTACAAGCAAACCAACCAACACTCCATCTAACTAGCAAAGGTCGTAAATAAACTTGGAATAAAACGTCAGGATCACTTGGTCATGTACTTGGTCGTAAATAAACTTGGAATAAAACGTCAGGGTCACTTGGTCATGTACTTAGTTGTAAATAAACTTGGAATAAAACGTCAGGATCACTTGGTCATGTACTTAGTTGTAAATAAACTTGGAATAAAACGTCAGGGTCACTTGGTCATGTACTTGTCGTAAATAAACTTGGAATAAAACGTCAGGATCACTTGGTCATGTACTTGGTCGTAAATAAACTTGGAATAAAACGTCAGGATCACTTGGTCATGTACTTGGTCGTAAATAAACTTGGAATAAAACGTCAGAATCACTTGGTCATGTACTTGGTCGTCAGATGGTTTGTTGGTTTATTTGCTAGTTAGATGGAGTGTTGGTTGGTTTGCTAGTTAGATGGAGTGTTGGTTGGTTTGCTAGTTAGATGGAGTGTTGGTTGGTTTGCTAGTTAGATGGAGTGTTGGTTGGAAGTACATGACCAAGTGACCCTGACGTTTTATTCCAAGTTTATTTACGACCAAATATCTCTGGTGATCACATCTTTTGATTCCAAGACTACACCTAAGATTAAGTATGGCCAAGTACTTCTAAACTTTGTATTATATTAACTTTAAATCCCAAGAGTATCATATTCAATTTAGAGAAATTGTTGGTGTCGTATTGGTATTGAATTCACACTTGTTGAACAATGCTGCTGGTCATTTTGATCTTAGAGTTCTTTTGTTGTAGTAGGTGTCCTACATCAAGAAATTTTTTGTTGTAGAAAGGTCAACTTGGTTATATACAGATTAAGAACATATTCACAGGAATAGTCAGTTTGGTTGTATACAGATTAAAAACAGGCCAATAGAAACAGTCAGATTGATTATGTACATACTAGGAACAGATTAATAGAAATTTTCAGATTTGTTATACTCAGACTAGGAACAGATTAACAGAGTCAGATTTAAGGATTCAGCTTTCTTTTTGAGGAAACACCGTCCATGCTTTTATCTGTGTATTAACGAATGTGATTGGTTTCTTATATCTTTTGTTTGTTAGATATATTTTGTAGTTGAACTAGATATCAGTTTTGCATTTTGTTACCTAAAGTTTAAAATAATGATTGATGTTAAATCGCTTGAGAAATAGTCTCCGTCTAACTCTTACGTTTTTCTGCATGCCATAAAACGGAACGATATTCCTTATTTGGTTTGTAAATGCATGTTATTGATAAGCAAGCTAGAGATCGATGAACAACACTACTCGGTTTTCTTTTCTTCAACACTACTCGGTTTTCTTTTCTTCAACACTACTCGGTTTTCTTTTCTTCAACACTACTCGGTTTTCTTTTCTTCAACACTACTCGGTTTTCTTTTCTTCAACACTACTCGGTTTTCTTTTCTTCTTTCTCGGAAATATCACCTTACCGTTCATTATGCTGGCCACATTCTAGAACAGGGCTTCCTTTCTAAACTTATATTATTACACTTTTCTTAGAGTTTAATTATTTTAGTAAAGTTAGCATATTTTCTATTTGTTTGTTACCTATAGTTAGACCATACATTCCGATTGCTTCACGTTGCTTAGTAACCAACAGAACGTTACAGTGTTTGTTTACTGTCTATAGTTGGACTCTACGTATAGATTGTTTCATGTTGTTTATTAACGAACATAACGTTGCACTATGTTTCTACCACCTATAATTAGATAAATCTGGAATTCTTCACACAGGATTTACCAAAGCTTATAAATTCTCGGAATATTACATTTCTTCTCCAAGAATTAAGCTGAGAATATAAATCTTTATAAAGCTGAATTTTTTTTCAGACGGGATTCACTGAAGGATATGGATCCTTACTTTACTGAATGGTTTTATTCAAGGGTATTTTAGGCAGAGTAAACATGGTGCAATTTTGCTTTAATAGACTCTTTCTAGAATGGGACGACTTTTTTGGAAGGCCTCAAATAGTTTCACGTAGTCGTTTTTTAATTAAGTCAGATAATTTCAGGTTGCCATTTTTTAGTTAAGTCAGATAATTTCAGGTTGTCGTTTTTTCCTTTTTCGAATTTACATATCAATTATTTAGCTTCGATAAAATATAAATATTCTCTGTCCCAACAGAACGCTAGGAAACGTTAACATTCGTGACGTGAGATAATCTTATTTTTTTACGTCGTTTGGTGAGGCAATTCTGAAACCAAAGATGAATATAATCTTCCTCTCATACCTCTATTTAAAAAACGACAACCTGAAATTATCTGACTTAATCAAAAAACCACAACCTGAAATTATCTGACTTAATTAAAAAACGACAACCTGAAATTATCTGACTTAATCAAAAAACGACAACCTGAAATTATCTGACTTAACTAAGAAGAACATATAGATTATTTTAAGGTGAAGTATATAATGAAACAAAAAACATAACACGGTGGCTCAGCGAAAAGACTGAAAGCTTACAACTCTAGAAATCGGTTTTCGATACCTTCAGTGGGCACAGCACAGATAGCCCATTGTGTAGCTTTGTTTTTAACAATAGACAAGAAAAAGACAACAACCAATTTTCATTATCCCTGCACGCCTAAAATATTTTACGGTTTTCCAACTTCATTATAAAAGAGTATATAATTTCGGACTTATGCGAAGACAGACAAATAAATAAAAAGACAAATAATTAATTCATATTCTAATTAATTATTCAAACACTTGCGCGACTGTTTGGCAGTAATACACAGTCTCGAGGACAGTAGTTTTATTTAGTTATCACAGCATTCTTCAGAGAATTCAAGTCTGTCGAAGTAATAATCGGTGGGACTTCAGTAAAGCTGTTGGAATTTACTACCATTATCCTCTGCCCCCATTGGCTCAGTGGCATGTCTGCGGACTTACAATGCTAGAAACCGGTTTTCGATACCCGCGGTGGACAGAGCACAGATAGCCCGTTGTGTAGCCTTGTGCTTAACTTCAAACAAATAAACATTATCTCTCGTCTGTGCACAGGAGTGAACGTCGCCCTTGGAAACATATATTTGATATAACACACCACATAAAAGAAACAGACTACTAACTATAATGTGCCTAGTTTCCACCGCAGATTGAACCACATGTCACTAGTTAAGTGATTTTATATATAACTTAGAATAAATAAGAAAGCAACAGAAGAGGTCACTACACTCAATTCGTGACG